TGGTGCCTGATTGCCCCCATTAACAGATTTCTGGCATCACATGTGTTCATTATACCCCAAAAAGGAGCTGCGGTAAGTCAAGTGAAGTGTTCAGTGAAAGCCATCAGTTTTCTGTATAAAAGTGGGGAAAACCCCAACAGTGCTTCCCAGGAAAGTGGAAGATATTGTAATTGGGATCCTAGCACTGTGCTAAAAGATGTGGGAATCAGGTCAGTCAGAGAGGGGATTCTGGGACCTTCTCATTTTACAAGAAGGGAAAAAGCTGTCCTTCCTCCCACAATGCATAGCGATGCTAGAGCCCTGCCTAGGTTGCCATGACAGTTGTTGTGGAAGCTTTCTGTCTCTATGGTAACAGGATACACAGACGAGCCAGTGTGGATGGGAAGTGTCAGTGAATTCAGGAGACACCGATCACAGAGGAGGAGCGGGAGCTGGATGAGGAGGTGACTACAAATCCTACACACAGGCAGCCTGTGGAACTACAGCTCCCAGCATGACTCTGCAGGAGCACAGGATTTCCCCATACTGACAGCCCTACACGGCAGATGGTGACAATACTGTGTGTGCTGCTGGTGACAAGGAAAGGCATCTGTAATCAGATATCATTTATAACATTATAACCTATTTATAACCTAACCTTAGGCCTTGTGTTTGCTTTTGATCTACTAAACACTTCCCTTCATATACTACTGCATGTGTTCATGTTTAGACTGATACTGCGTATTATGTCATCTCATTTTAATTTGGTTTATCTACTGACCATACACTATGCAATCTGATTGTACAATCTCCTTTAGATCTACCTACCACTACGTAGTATAGGGGCCTGCCAGATATGATACACATTGACTGGACTGTTTAGGATTGTCCCTTATATTACATAGTTTTGGTAAATCTGGAGTACAGAGATTGTACAATCAGATTGCCTAGTGTGTGGCCAGATTGATGAGTGCTGGAAGGGAGTGATCTAAAGAGCACCTGTTACATAGCAGGGGCTCACAGCACTGAAAACCTTCGTCCTCCAATACATACAGGTGAGCCACTTTTCAAAGGTGAAGATGAATGTTTGCCAGAGTGCTGGTGTGTGTTCATAAAGAGAAATTCCTCACCAGTACACCTTCATTATCGTGTTCATGTTACTGTAGATTGTTCCTGTGTTTCATAATGTAGCCAACACCACTCCCCCCCCCCCTCCTGCCCTGCCCCCACCCCCTTCCCAATCATGCCACACTCTGCTTTCTACAAAGTATTACTTTCATTACTCAAATGACCCAATCTGTCCTTCACAATGTCCCCCCATCATCCTCCCACTCCTTCCTTCACAATGTCCCCCATCCCCCACTCCTTCCCACAATGTTCCCCATCCCCCCCCACTCCTTCCCTCATTCACAATGTATTCCTTCCAATGTCCCCCCATCATCCCCCACTCCTTCCTTCACAATGTTCCCCATCATCCCCCCACTCCTTCCTTCACAATGTTCCCCATCATCCCCCCACTCCTTCCTTCACAATGTTCCCCCATCATCCTCCCACTCCTTCCTTCCAATGTTCCCCATCTCCTCCCACTCCTTCCTTCACAATGTTCCCCATCATCCCCCCACTCCTTCCTTCACAATGTTCCCCATCATTCCCCACTCCTTCCTTCACAATGTTCCCCCATCATCATCCTCCCACTCCTTCCTTCACAATGTCCCCCCATCATCATCCCCCACTCCTTCCTTCACAATGTTCCCCCATCATCCCCCCACTCCTTCCTTCACAATGTCCCCCCATCATCCCCCCACTCCTTCCTTCACAATGTTCCCCATCATCCCCCCACTCCTTCCTTCACAATGTCCCCCCATCATCCTCCCACTCCTTCCTTCACAATGTTCCCCATCATCCTCCCACTCCTTCCTTCACAATGTTCCCCATCATCCCCCACTCCTTCCTTCACATGTTCCCCATCATTCCACACTCCTTCCCTCCTCACATGTTCCCCATCATCCTCCACACTCTTCCTTCACAATGTTCCCCATCATCCCCCACTCCTTCCTCATTCACAATGTTCCCCATCATTCCCACTCTGTCCTCCTCACAATGTATCCCCATCATTCCCCACTCTTCCTTCACAATGTTCCCCCATCATCCCCCCACTCCTTCCTCACAATGTTCCCCATCCCACACTCAATGTATCCCCCATTCCCAGTCCACACTCTGCCCTCCTCAATGTATCCCCATCCCCACACTCATTCACCTCCTCACTGTATCCCCATCATTCCACACTCTGTCCTCCTCAATGTATCCCCATCATTCCACACTCTGCCCTCCACAATGTATCCCCATCATTCCACACTCTGCCCTCCTCACTGTATCCCCATCATTCACACTCTGTCCTCCTCAATGTATCCCCATCATTCCACACTCCTGCCCTCCTCAATGTATCCCCATCATTCCACACTCTGCCCTCCTCAATGTATCCCCATCATTCCACACTCTGTCCTCCTCAATGTATCCCCATCATTCCACACTCTGCCCTCCTCAATGTATCCCCATCATTCCACACTCTGTCCTCCTCAATGTATCCCCATCATTCCACACTCTGCCCTCCTCAATGTATCCCCATCATTCCACACTCTGTCCCTCCTCAATGTATCCCCATCATTCCACACTCTGTCCTCCTCAATGTATCCCCATCATTCCACACTCTGCCCTCCTCAATGTATCCCCATCATTCCACACTCTGCCCTCCTCAATGTATCCCCATCATTCCATCTGTCCTCCTCAATGTATCCCCATCATTCCACACTCTGCCCTCCTCAATGTATCCCCATCATTCCACACTCTGTCCTCCTCAATGTATCCCCATCATTCCACACTCTGTCCTCCTCACTGTATCCCCATCATTCCACACTCTGTCCTCCTCAATGTATCCCCATCATTCCACACTCTGTCCTCCTCAATGTATCCCCATCATTCCACACTCTGCCTCGTCAATGTATCCCCATCATTCCACACTCTGTCCTCGTCAATGTATCCCCATCATTCCACACTCTGTCCTCCTCAATGTATCCCCATCATTCCACACACTCTGCCCTCCTCAATGTATCCCCATCATTCCACACTCTGCCCTCCTCAATGTATCCCCATCATTCCACACTCTGTATCCCCATCATTCCACACTCTGTCCTCCTAAATGTATCCCCATCATTCCCCACTCTGTCTTCCACAATGTATCCCCATCATTCCACACTCTGTCCTCCTCAATGTATCCCCATCATTCCACACTCTGTCCTCGTCAATGTATCCCCATCATTCCACACTCTGCCCTCGTCAATGTATCCCCATCATTCCACACTCTGCCCTCGTCAATGTATCCCCATCATTCCACACTCTGTCCTCGTCAATGTATCCCCATCATTCCACACTCTGTCCTCGTCACTGTATCCTCATCATTCCCCACTCTGTCTTCCACAATGTATCCCCATCATTCTCTACTCCGTCCTCCTCAATGTATCGACCTGCTAATCGGCTGTGTGCAATCACATCCCAGAGCTCTGTGTAGGTAAACACAGAGCTCTGTACAGAGAGAGCAATCTGCAAGGCAGAGATTAGAAACATAGAGATCTAGTAGTAAAAGCTGCACACCTTTCACACATTACACATTGGTAGGCATATATTTATCTCCTTGATATTTTTTTTTCCAAAATGTTTGGTCATTTTTCGTTTATATAATAAAAAAACCAGTGGTGATCAAATACCACCAAAAGAAAACTCTATTTGTGTGAAATAAATGTTATAAATTTATTTTGGGTACAGAGTTGCATGACCACGCAATTACCATTTAAAGTAGCGCAGTGCCAAATGGCAAAACATGGCCTAGTCATGAAAGGAGTTAAACCTTCCGGAGCTGACGTGGTTAAGTTGCATTGTGGGTAATGGCTATCATTCTTTGAACCATCTGTAAATTAAGTTGTCCTTGGCAGGTTAACCTCCCTAACGGTATTCCCGAGTGTAGCTCGGGGTAAAATGTCAGTACCAAAAGCGGTAACCCCGAGCTACACTCGGGCTTACCATGCGGCGCTGCATAGGGAGTCCCTGCAGCACTTACCTTGTCCTTCACTCCCGCGATGTGTCCCCTGCAGCGTCCCCGGCCATCTCCTCCAGCGGATGCCGGCATCCGCCTTCTGTGTTCCGGTCCCTGTGACGTCGGGACGTACGGCGCTGCCGGCGGCGGGAAATTTGAAAATTTAAAAAAAATGTCATTTTTTTCAAAACGATTTTACATAGTAAAACATTGCTGTTTCAACCCATTTCACATACATTTTGTCCCGAGTGCTTTGTCCTGTTCCCTGTCTGCATTTTGATTGTTCTTTCTGCCTGGAAACTTAGAAAAGTCCATGGCGTCCAAAAAGTGTCCCTTTAGGTCAAAAGCGGGTTTAGATCAGCTAGAGAACAGCAATAGTAAATCAGAACCACTTGCAGAATTGAGTGATAATGATTCGTGGGGAAATTCGTCATCAGACACTGAAAACAATTTTGCGACTTTGCTCAGTGATGTGCGAACTTGGCGCTATATTTCAAATTTCAGTGTTTTTGGTTTGATTATATTATTGAATTAAATGTATGATTTAGAATCTTATTCAGACAGATTTCAGTGAGTTATTCCTAAAAATTACAGCCTACAATAAAAAAACTACATATTTCCATGCAAAATAATGGTACCGCTTTCAGCACCAAAAATATGAAATAATCATACCGCTAGGGAGGTTAAAGACACGCACACCCAGGTCTCATACATTTTTTTGGGGTGATTTTTTTAATGCTGCATTGTTCATCATACAACATTCATTGCAAGTCAGTACCTTAAAGTGAACCTCTTGGCTGCTACACATTAGTTGTTTTGCTGATTTGCCTGTATTGCCAGTATTTACTGAAACGTCAAATGGTGGAAAATAAAAGTGAATTTACATAGCAGATGATCAATGTTTTTATTACAGGTAGTAGAGCTGCCCTGGAACATGTTGTCAGTCCCCATCCATATCCCCACAGACTCTACATATGAAGATCCTGGATCCAGTTGCACGTAAGTTTGTTCATTGCTGTGTAATCTGTGGGTCAAGAAATATACTATACACACACTATATAACCAGAAGTAAGTATGTCCATCTCATCATTATGAGATTGTTGGACATCACATTCCAAAACCATAGACATTTAATGGAGTCACCTCTCTTCTTCTGGGAAGACTTGTGAGTGTGTGTGAATTTGTGCCCATTCACCCAAAACTGCATGTGTAAGGGGGGGGATTTACTACAACTGCACAGCACACAGAATCTGGTGCATCTGTGCATAGTAACCAATCAGCATCCAGCTTTTGTTGTTAAAGCCTAATTGAACAAGCTGAAGTTAGAAGCTGATTGGTTAAAATGCACAGCTGTACCAGATTCTGCGTGCACCAGATTTAGCAAATCTCTCCCCAAGTCTCTATGGTTGTACAGGTCCTAGAAATCAGGAAATTTGGAGCTATAGAATGTTCTGATAAACGGTTGATGGTAGTAGTAATAATAATAGAAGATTTTCTGTGTCTCAGAGAGTCTCTAGTATTATCTGTTTTCTACAGAACTCCAAAGACAGCCAGCACTGCTCACGATGCAGAGGAGACAGAAAGCAGTGTATTGGACTACACTGAGCGATCCCAGGACACCAACAGAAATGACACCCATCCACCCAAGGGGCAATCGTTCACTATGGATAAATTAACAAAAGCTGAAATGAGGGTGGAGCAGTTCATTAATGACAATGAGGTGAGAGGGTGACAATTATTTTTATTGCACTGTATTCTGTGGTTATACAGCAGTATTGTACATTACACCGATCAGTCAAAATGTTATGACCACTGATGGGTTAAGTGAATAACATTAATTATCTAGTTTACAATAGCATCTGAAAGTCAGTGGGATATACACTCACTGGCCACTTTATTAGGTACACCCGTTCAATTTCTTGGGAACACAAATTGCTAATCAGCCAATCGCATGACAGCAACTCCTTTAACCACTTCCAGACCGGACACTTTTACCCCCTTCCTGACCAGGGCAATTTTCAGCTTTCAGCGCTATCACACTTTAAATGCGCAATTGCGCGGTAATGCAACACTGTGCCCAAATTCATTTTTTACCATTTTTTTTGAGACAGATAAAGCTTTATTTTGGTGGTATTTATTCACCGCTGGGATTTTATTTTTTTTTCTATGTAAAAGGAAAAGTCCCAAAATTTTGAAAAAAAGTGTTTTTTTTTATAAAAATTTTGCAAATAAATAATATTCCATCATAAATCTTCACCAAAATTTATTCCGTTATCTTTTTAGTAAAAAAAAAAAAATCCAAATTAGTTTATAACCAAAAATTATAATTTGTAAACATTTTTTTATACATTTTTATTTTATTTTTTTATATTATTATTTTTTATTTTTATTTTTTTTTTTTTACATACTGTCACCCTAGCAGTACAGTGTCACCATGGCGACACTGTACTACTTGTGGGGGGTGATGAGGATTTTTGTTTTTTTTTTACACTGATTGCTTTTACACCCATATAGCATGTAAAAGCAATCATTTTTCTTTCTCTCTGTCTGCATTCTTGCACTCATTGAGAAGTACTGAGTGAGCTGTGATTTGTCACAGCTTGTCACATGGTACAAGGCTGTTGTGAATAGCATTGTACCATGTGACCTCTGTGATCATTCACAGATTTCACACGTAGTAAGCAATGATGTCACAAGTGACATCTTGCTTACTACTTTGCATGTGATCACTGATTGGCCATTCAGTGATCACATGATCGGGACCTCGTACAGAGGTCCCGTCCGACGATCGGTGTTTCACTGTGTCCGGAGGACACAGCGGGCACTGGATCGCGGTGCTGCGCGCGCTCCCAGGGAGCGCGCACAAGCAGGGTGCGGGGAGGCCGTTTATAAACGGCCACCCGACCCTGCAGTGCCACCGTCCGGCCGTTTATATGCAATGGCCGTTCGGGAAGTGGTTAACCATGTAGATGTGGTGAAGATGAATTGCTGATGTTCAAACCGAGCATTGGAATGGGAAAGAAAGGGGATTTAAGTGACTTTGAAGGTGAAACAGGAAGGTGCTTCTAAGCGCAGTATTCCAGGTCAACTTTAATAAAAAGCAGTTAAAGACACTTACAATGTAGTAGTACAAACAGGCTCTAATGTAATCCGTCAATAGCAGGGCTCTATCCTCTGAGCGATGGAGCTGCTGTGCCAGCCAGCAACTGCAGGAGGAGCTTGAGGAGAGAGGTGCTAAAGATGGCCGCCGCTCTGTTCGGACCACTGGAGCACATGCTGGAACACACACTGTCCACGGACCGGAAGTGACGTGAGCATGGAGTGGTGACGCATTTCAGAGCATGAGCAGAGCTCCATCTTCAAGACCAAGAAGTAGGAGCTCTGCTCATGCTCCCCTAACTACGTATATAACATAATCAAAACTGAGAATTGCTCTTCTGTATGAGCTTCTCTTGGGAAATGTATTCCATACTAACAATTTGACCTTTGTAACCTGCCTTTGGCGTTCGCTAGTATTGAGCTATGTATCTGGTTTTCGATTTTTGTATTGAAAAATGCTTAATACAAAACTGTTATTTAACCACTTGCCTACAGGGCACTTATACCCCCTTCTTTCCCAGGCCAGTTTTCAGCTTTCAGTGCATTCGCACTTTGAATGACAATTGCGCGGTCATGCAACACTGTACCCATATGAAATTTTTACTATTTTTTTTTAGACAGATAGCGCTTTCTTTTGGTGGTATTTAATCACCTCTGGGTTTTTTATTTTTTGCTAAACAATCCAAAAACTACTGAAAATTTTGAAAAAATAACGTTTTTTCTTTGTTTTTGTTATAAAATTTTGTAAATAAGTGATAGCTGATGTGCGCTAATGAGGCTGCAGTGATGAGCACTGATAGGCTGCACTGATGGGCACTGATAGGTGGCACTGATGGGCATTGATGAGGAAGCACTAGTAGGTGGCACTGATGGGCATTGACAGGCATCACTGATGGGCACTGAAAGGCAGCACTCATATATGGCACTGATAGACGGCACTGACTGGCACTGTTAGGCAGCACTGATGGGCACTGATATGCGGCACTGATGCGTATTGATAGGCGGCACTGACTGGCACTGATAGGCGGCACTGACTGGCACTGATTGGCAGCACTGATAGGTGGCACTGACTGGCATTGATAGGTGGCACTGACTGGCACTGGTAGGTGACACTGAAAGGCAGCTCAGATGGGCACTGATATGTGGCATTGATGTGCACTTGTAGGAACTGATATGTGGCACTGATGGGCACTGGCAGGTGGCATTGATGAGTACTGACAGCTGGCACTGATGAGCACTGACAGGTGGCACAGCTGGGGCTACACTGACCATCAGGGCACACTGATCATTAGTGCCCTGATGATCAGTGTACATGCCCCCTCTGAGGAATGCTGATTACCAGCTCTCCTCTCCTCTCGAGCTGTCAGCATGACAGCTCGTGAGGAGAGAAATGCCAATAACCGGCATTTCCCTGTTTACATGCGATCAGCTGTGATTGGTCACAGCTGATCACATGACCGAGCCGACATCTTCAGCTCTTTCCGTTGATCGGTGATCCGCTGTGTCCGAGGGACACAGTGCACCTCTGATCGCCGCACTGCTCACTCCCAGAGCCGCACATGCACAATTAGAGTGGGAGGAAGTCATATGATGCCTGTCATTACCTTATATGGCAGGCGGGAGGCGGTTAAAAAAAAAAAAAAAAGGGGGAACAAGTCAATATTAGGTGGGTGGTCATAAAGTTATGTCTGATCCGTGTATATGCTGGGCTTTTCTAATGCGAATTCTGTCTAAGGTGGCACCTACTATTGGCAGCAAAGAGCATATTTACCAAATTTTCTTTGGTCCTTTATGCATGATTTTATTATTGATTATAATTACACAGGATTTAGATAGCACCACCAATTTGCATAGCTTTACAAAGTGAACCTTACCAATGCAATTCAAGACAAGACAAGAGGGCCCTGCTCGTGACAGCTTACAATCCAAGCATCACAGCTGAAGAGGGGGGAGGTGTAGATGCTGCATGGTGCGTGTGCTTTACGCTGTCTGTGGGGCATACGTCTGTGCGTGTGCTTTATGCAAGTATCGGTGCATTCCAATGTACATCCGAGTCTTGTAATTGCTGTCTGTGGGGCATACGTCTGTGCGTGTGCTTTATGCAAGTATCGGTGCATTCCAATGTACATCCGAGTCTTGTAATTGCTGTCTGTGGGCAGCTGTATGCAGCAGATGTGGTTCTCAGGGAACTAATGCAGATTCTGGAGGCACACTAACTGTTTGAAGTAATTTGATGCAGTTGAATATATACAAGTATACCCAATCATTTAGCAACAGTGTGATATCCAACTGGAGTGTTTCCAAATGTGGTATAAAATAGCTGAATTGTGTTATATGTTAGCTGATATATCGCCTCCTCGTTGCTTGTCAAATGCATCTGAAAAGTGATCCAACTGCTAAATATTTCAAAAATACAAAAATTAACAGTGCTGCGCTAAATCAACTCACAACAATGCATACTATACAGTGCTCCACTGGAGCCATTTGCTGACGTCATCATGCACCAGATGGTTCCCGGACGTTTCTTGTTTTTGCCGGCTTGAGTGGTATTTTGAATTTGCAATCACTGTTCTGTTACATGTAAGTGCAATACTCTGATTAATAGTGATTGTTACACTATGTAGATCATTTGTTTGTCTATTTCTTTCCTGAGCCTATGAGGTTGAAGACCAGAGGTGGCAGATTGAATGACAATGGTGTGTGATGGTTCTGTGGAGGAGATGGAAGGACTCTATTGATACCTAATTATATCAGCCATGCTATTTATGACTTCTATTTAATTAGGGGGTCATATATATCTGGTAAGCCTGAATCTTACCACTATTTGGGTGAAGGCTGTGGATTTGCTTCAACATTTCTTGGATGAAAGAAATTTTTAGGGACTTTCTTTGTCTAATTAATTGAGGACTTTTCTCTGTTTCATATACATTTTCCAACACTTTTTTTCTGTTTATGAATTGTACATTTTTATATTTAGTTATTTATCAATTGGATATTCGCATATTGGTGGCATTTTTTTGAGTTTTTTTTACCGCAACACTGTGAATTTTTGTATTTTGGTATTTAGGGTGATAATAGTGTGATAGGAGGATTAGTGTGTTTGCTGTTTTTTAATTTCTTATTTTAACATTTTTACACATTTGCTTGCTTTTCTTATTATTATATATGCTAAATATCTTAAACTGCATACACCTGTTAATGGCTTGGTGGCCATTGTCAGTGCTCTATCTTTCTATAAACTGACGTTTTTGGATATACAGTTGGCCAGTGGCTATTGAAGCTAGAGAGTCAATTTCTTTAGTAATATCTAAATTTTTTTCTTCATTACCATTGCCTTACATATAAAACTAACAGCTTTTTTGATAGCTTCTTACAGCTCACAAAGAGTTAATTAAATGTGTGGCGTTGAGCAGAATCATCTATGGGGACAGCCACTGGAAACTTGCTGAGGCTTTCGCCAACCTTGCATATGGCTACCTTACTTATCAAGGTATTTTTTTATTAACAAAAATTAATACAAATAGTAAATACTGCATTGACTGTACATGCCAACAGGGCTCGGCTAGGTTGGCCCATAGGAGGATCAGGCAGCCTCCTTGGGCACAGCAAGCTATCCGGTGGAGGGGGAGCAGTAGTGGGAGAGGGTGGTGGTAGGGAATGTTATCTGTCATGTTCCTCCCTGTGACTCTTCTCCAACCCTTCATCAGCAAATCTCAGCTGTCAAAATGACAGCCAGGTTTTGGTCTGTGTTACAGCAGTGTAATAAGAAGCTTATTAAAGTGCAAACCCAGACTGTTGAGAAACCTAGTTGTTAAATTTTATATGTATATGGTGTGGGTGTGTATATATGTATGTGTGTGTATGTATGTATATACAGTGCAGTGCATGAAAGAAGTATTTGATCCCCTGCTGATTTTGAATGTTTGCCCACTCACAAAGAAATGAACAGTCTAAAAATCGAATGGTAAGTGTATTGTAACACTGAGAGACAGAATAGCAACAAAAAATTCAAAAGAAATGCATGTCTAACAAATTATGCACTGATTTGCATGTTCAAGAGTGAAATAAGTATTTGATCCCCTATCATTCAGCAGGATTTCTGGCTACCAGGTGTCTTTCGTATACGTAACAAGCTGAGATTAGAAGCAGTCTCTTAAAGGGAGTGCTGCCAATCTCATTTTGTTACCTGTATAAAAGACAGCTGTCCACATGAGCAATCAAACAGATTCCAAACTCTCCACCATGGCAAAGACCAAATAGCTGTCCAAGGATATCAGGGACAAGATTGTAGACCTACACAAGGCTGGACTGGGCTACAATACTATCGCCAAGCAGCTTGGTGAGAAGGTGACAACAGTTGGTGCAATCATTCGCAAATGGAAGAAACACAAAACAACTGTCAGTCTCCCTAGGTCTGGTGCACCATGCAAGTTCTCAGCTCATGGACTGTCAGTGATCATGAGAACAGTGAGGAATCATCCCAGAACTACACGTGAGGATCTTGTCAATGATCTCCAGGCAGCTGGTACCACAGTCACCAAGAAAACAATTGGTAACACACAAGCCGACACGGATTGAAATCCTGCAGTGCCCGCAAGGTCCCTCTGCTCAAGAAAGCACATGTCCAGGCACATCTGAAGTTTGCCGCTGAACATCTGAATGATGCAGAGGAGGACTGGTTGAAAGTGTTGTGGTCAGATGAGACCAAAATCGAGCTCTTTGGCATCAACTCAACTCGCCGTGTTTAAAGGAAGAGGAATGCTGCCTATGACTCCAAGAACACCATCCCAACTGTCAAACATGGTGGTGGAAACATTCTGCTTTGGGGGTGTTTTTCTGCTAAGGGGACAGGACAACTGCACCGCATCAAAGGGACGATGGACGGGGCAATGTACCGTCAAATCTTGGGTGAGAACCTTCTTCCCTCAGCCAGGGCATTGAAAATGGGTCATGATGGGTGTTCCAGCATTGCAATGACCCAAAACACATGGCCAAGGAAACAAAGGAGTGGCTCAAGAAGAAGCACATTAAGGTCCTAGAGTTTCCTAGCTAGTCTCCAGACCTTAATCCGATTGAAAATCTGTGGAAGGAGCTGAAAGTTCGAGTTGCCAAATGTCAGCCACCAAACCTTAATGACTTGTAGAGGATCTGCCAAGAGGAGTGGGCCAAAATCCCTCCTGAGTTGTGTGCAAACCTGATGGCCAACTACAGGAAATGCCTGACCTCTTTGATTGCCAAAAAGGGATTTGCCACCAAGTACTAAGTCATGTTTTGTGAAGGGGATCAAATACTTATTTCCCTCATGAACATGCCAATCAGTGCATCATTTGTTAGACATGCATTTCTTTTGAATTTTTTGTTGTTTATTCTGTCTCTCAGTGTTACAATACACCTACCATTCAATTTTTAGGCGGATCATTTTTTTGTGAGTGGGCAAACATGCAAAATCAGCAGGGGATCAAATACTTCTTTCATTTTTATATATATATATAATATTATATATATATATATATATATATATATTGCCAAAAGTATTGGGACGCCTGCCTTTACACCTTTACACGCACGTGAACTTTAATGGCATCCCAGTCTTAGTATGTAGGGGTATTGAGTTGGCCTACCCTTTGCTGCTATCAACTTCAACTCTTCTGGGAAGGCTGTCCACAAAGTTTAGAAGTGTGTCTATGGGAAGGTTTGACCATTCTTCCAGAAGCGCATTTGTGAGGTCAGGCACTGATGTCGGACAAGAAGGCCTGGCTCGCAGTCTCCACTCTAATTCATCCCAAAGGTGTTCTATCTGGTTGAGGTCAGGTCTCTGTGCAGGCCACAGTCAAGTTCCTCCACCCCCCAATCTCATCCATGTCTTTATGGATCTTGCTGTGCAGTCATGTTGGAATGGGCCATCTCCAAACTGTTTCCTACAAAGTTGGGAGCATGAAATTGTGCAAAATGTCTTGGTATGCTGACGCCTTAAAAGTTCCCTTCACTGGAGCTAAGGGCCAAGCCCAACCCCAAAAAAAAAAACCCACACCATAATCCCCCCTCCACCAAACTTTACACTTGGCACAATGCAGTCAGGCAAATACTGTTCTCCTGGCAACCTCCAAACCCAGACACGTCCATCAGATTGCCAGACAGAGAAGTGTGATTCGTCACCCCAGAAAACACGTCTCCACTCCTCTAGAGTCCAGTGGCGGTGTGCTTTACACCACTGCACCCGACGCTTTGCATTGCACTAGGTGATGTGAGGCTTGGATGCAGCTGCTCGGCCATGGAAACCCATTCCATGAAGCTCTCTACACACTGTTGTTTTGCTAATCTGAAAGCCACATGAAGTTTGGAGCTCTTTAACTATTGACTCTGCAGACAGTTGGCAACTTCTGTGCACTGTGCACTTCAGCATGCCCTGATTCCGCTCTGTTATTTTACGTGGCCTACCACTTGGTGGCTGAGTTGCTGTTGTTCCCAGTTGCTTCCACTTTGTTATAATAGCACTAATAGTTGACCGTGGAATATTTAGTAGCAAGGAAATTTCACGAATGGACTTTATTGCACAGGTGGCAACCTATCACGGTACCACGCTTGAATTCACTGAGCTGAGAGGGACTCATTCTTTCAGAAATGTTTGTAGAAGCAGTCTGCATGCCTAGGGGCTTGATTTTATGACTTGGAACACCTATATCTAATAATTTGGAGTGGTTTCCCAATACGTTTGGCAACATAGTGTGTGTGTATGTATATGTGTGTGTATATATATATATATATATATTATATGACAGTGTGGCGATCTGTCACGATATACAAAGGATATTTCATCTGGGTTTCTCAACAAAGCAGATTGAGGGGCTCCAGGGCACTTGTTTGATGCTGAGGAAAGTGGCTTTTCACTTTCCTCATTTGTTTGTAAAGTCCATTTTGGGACCTGGAGCCTGGACATTTCAAACAGTGGGGATGTAGGAGTTAAAGTAAAACCTGTGCGTGGTTCTCAAAAAGAAAGTGATGTCACTAATGTCTGCCAGTCACAGGTTGGTAGTGGGCTAGTACAGCCCACAAGAGCTAAAAATGCTGATGATATTGGTTATAATGAGAAATATACTGCTGTTAGGAAAACCCTGAGCTCTTGCAGTGCAAAAGCTGTAATTAAAGATGGGTCATTTCCCATAGCAACTGGTGGTAAGACAGCACAGAAATCTCCATGGGACACCATGTATTGGAGCGGAGGTTGCCCTGGACAACCGCAATGTCACTCTGGTGGGGCAGAGTGGAACTGCACCTTGTAATAGGAGTGTGTTGATGCAGTCTACTAATACTGAAAGTGTTCAGGTAAACAGCAGGTTAATAAAGCCTATGAAAAATGTAAATATGTGGGTAATTCAGGAAGCCCCACCAGAGCAAAGTGGTGGATGTGAGGTATTGCAATCTGCAGTTGAAAAACAGGTGTTACCCATGTTTGGCATGATCCAGAGTGATTTGTGCAATGGATCTGCAAATAAGCCCGTCTATTCTTATGTGTCTCTTTGGGCGGATGGATCGGTGCTGAGGAGCACTGGCAAAATGAGCACATATACAATGGATTGGGATAGTTGGGGTAAAAGGCTAATCTCATTGATAGATGAGGCTTTTATGCAAAAAAATAAGGTGGACACTGTTTCTGCTGTGCCGGCAGGAGGGTCTATAGAACAGCCTATAGCTAAGAGCGAGCATACAGCAGAGACTTTGTCTGTGACCCACAAAAGTCATGTTGGCATGGAGTGTCAAAATGATGTTGTCACTGGGAATGATCGGGGGCAACTTATGGATGCTGAGTCTGAGACATTGAGAGTGAGCCCAGCATCTGGTAGCGCACTGGTGGAAAGCACCAGGCTGTGGTTACCTCCAGATGGGAAGACGTCTCTTTAAAAGTTGCAGCTTCTCTAGTCTTAGCAGGTGAGTCTCTCAGCGTTCCCAGTGTCATAAATATATTCAGGAAGTACTTGGGTCTGGAGCCAAGTGACTGGGTTGTAACACAAGTATTAAAGGAAATGCTTGAACTTTGGGATGTACAGCCAATCTGTACTGGGGTGTCTCCTCCACAGTCAGATTGTCTGGTACTGTGGAGTACCACTAGGTGAGCACCGAATGGCTGGTTGTACAGATCAAAGGGAAACAAGAAAGAAGTGGTTTATTTTTTAATTTGTTGATGGTGTTAAAAGTTGCCTGTGGGTACGCTGCAGGACTACCGGTAAATGTGATATATGAGAGAGGTTTTGGAGAAATGAAAAATGAGTCAAAAAAGGTTTCACCTCCTAACAGCCAGGTGGGAAGCATTTCTGCTGCTATGGTCCAGGATGGTGCTGGTCAGTTGTCAGTGAAGGGCGTGTTTACTGCACCAGTGGACAAACCACATGAGATGGAAGGGCCGAGCATGGACCAGAGAACAGCAGAGATCCTGAGCAGGGCTCAGATGGATGTGCTTAAAGAAACCAGGGTCACTGGGCCAAAAAGAGGTTTATGTAGCAGGTCTGATAAGACGCCTGAAATACAGGAACAGATGGTATGTGAAAACTGGCAAAATGGATCAGAAGAGAGCTCATCTGTTCAAGATTTGGATACAGATCCAAGTGGTGTAGGAAAAGTCAAAATCGTGGGACAGCCACCTGCAGAGTACATGACACCAGGTGAAGTGGCATCTTATGAGGTTCCCGTGGGTGATGGCTGCCCTATGGTGTGTGTGCCCTCTGCAGACACTGTCCCAACAAATGCTGGAAAATTATATTGAGAGGTGTAATATTGACTGGAATATATCTGTTCATGGTAAACTGAATGCTGTGGTGATGAGTCATGCAGGTTTGATATCCAAAGGTCCCAGAAATAAGAGGGGTGGCCCTGGTGTAAATACAGTAGAAATAGGTCCCTTACAGCACTGGGACAGTAATATTGAGGGAGGTATTAGGAAACCTTAGAACCTGAAGCAAAGAGGCAGAAAGGTCGATAGAAAGACCAGGAGGACCCCATTAAGATTTTAGGAGAGAAAGTGTTTATGGAAGTGCACCTGGAAAAAGAGTAGGGAAGGTCTGATTAGAGCCCATAGCAGAGTGACAATGGGGCTTGGGGAGAGACACCAAAGGAGTCATTGGGTAGAGTTCCCCTTTAGTAAAGGTATGGTCAGACAAGATTGGACCCCTGTAAGTGAGAGCTGGCACAGAGGTGCCAGAAGCTCTAGGTTGTGTGTTTCACCCTCCAGGACGAAACAAAGGGGGGGGGGGGATATGTGACAGTGTGGCGATCTGTCACAATATAAAAATTATATTTCACCTGGGATTCTCAACAAGGCAGGTTGAGGGGCTCCAGGGTACTTGTTTGATATAGAGGAAAGTGGCTTTTCACTTTCCTCATTTGTTTGTAAAGTCCATTTTGGGACCTGGAGCCTGGACATTTCAAAGTAATTTGGGAGGGATTAAATCACCAATCCTGGGACCAGGTTTTGGGAATGGCCAGGGTTCTGGGCTCCACCCTCCCGAGGAGTCCATGTGGGTCTAAGGGAGTATCCACAAGTGTGCATAGTGGCACAGTATAGTCTGAGAGCAGAGCCCAAGCCTGTGGGCTGGAGAAGCAGGAGTGCTGGGAAAGGGCGCTAACCCAGTTGCAGGGTGTTGTACATGAATGGCCAACAGTACCGAGGCATGAAGCCTGAGCAGCAGTGCTGCAAAAGAGAGCCAGGAGGCTGAATATTTTAGTTTGTATTTATGGTGGATACCCCTGCGTGGGAAACCTGTTAAATGGAACTTTCTTTTAAATAAAATTGGGCAAAAACAGCCCTTAAAAAGAGAGCGCGTGGCTGTGTATTGTTAAAGCTCTACCCTTGGTGCTAGTTCCCCCCCCCAAAAAAAAAAAATATATATATATATACAGTTGTGTTCAAAATAATAGCAGTGTGTTGAAAAAAGTGAATAAAGCTCAAAATCCTTCTAATAGCTTTTACTTCCATACACACAAATGCATTGGGAACACTACACATTCTATTCCAAATCAACACATGAAGAAAAATATATCAAATTTGTGTTGTTCCTCTAACAAAATGGAAGAAAAGTGAATATTAGACGGTTCAAAAAAATAGCAGTGTTTGTATTCTTCTTTACAAACTCAAACATTCACTATATAAACTGAAAAATGTTTGAAGATTTTGCTTTCCTTTGAATCACTTAATGAATATTTCGTTGTATAAGCACTGTTTCTGAGAACTGCTGTACATCTGTGTTGCATGGAGTCAACGAACCTCTGGCACCTATGAACAGGTATTCCAGCCCAGGATGATCGGACTACATTCCACAGTTCTTCTCTATTTCTTGGTTTTGCCTCAGAAACTGCATTTTTGATGTCACCCCACCACAGTTTTCTATTGGATTAAGATCCGGGGATTGGGCTGTGCACTCCATAACGTCAATCTTGTTGGTCTGGAACCAAGATGTTGCACGTTTACTGGTGTGTTTGGGGTCGTTGTCTTGTTGGAACACCCATTTCAAGGGCATTTCCTCTTCAGCATAAGGCAGCATGACCTCTTCAAGTATTCTGATGTATTCAAACTGATCCATGATCCCTGGTATGCGATAAATAGGCCCAACACCGTAGTATGAGAAACATCCCCATATCATGATGCTTGCGCAACCATGCTTCACTGTCTTCACAGTGTACTGTGGCTTGAATTCAGTGTTTGGGGGTCGTCTGACAAACTGTCTCCGACCACTAGACCCAAAAAGAACAATCTTACTTTCATCAGTCCACATTTCTCTTTAGCCCAGTCAATGTGCTCTTTGGCAAATTGTAACCTCCTCAGCACATGTCTTTTTTTCAACAGTGGGACTTTGCGGGGGCTTCTTGCAGAAAGCTTGGCTTCACATAGGCGTCTTCTAATTGTAACAGTACTCACAGGTAACTTTACACCTTCTTTGATCTTCCTGGAGCTGATTGTTGGCTGAGTCCTTGTCATTTTGGCTGTTCTTCTATCCATTCGAATGGTAGTTTTCCGGTGTCTTCCACGTCTTTCAGGTTTTGGTTGCCATTTTAAAGCATTTTCGATCATTTTAGCTGAGCAGCCTATAATTTTTGCACTTCTTTATATGTTTTCCCCTCTCCAATCAACTTTTAAATCGAGGTAAGCTGTTCTTCTGAACAATGTCTGGAACGACCCATTTTCCTCAGAATTTCAGAGAGAAATGCACTGTAACCAGCATGTACAACATTTGCTGCCTTCCTTCCTTAAATAAGGGCAATAATTGCCACCTGTTTTTCAAAGAATGGATGACCTCATTAACAGAACTCCACACTGCTATTATTTTGAACATGCCCCTTTCAATTAGTGATTCAATTACACAGAATCAGAAGCATGCATGTCATGACTGTTGGGTCTGTTGGATTTCTATTACTCTACTACACCTGCTAGTAAATTATTTGCCATGTACAAATATCATTTCTACCAAAAACAGTGATTGATCAGGTTAGTGATGTCTGACTGCTATTATTTTGAACACAGCTGTATATGTATATTGCTCAGAAAAATTAAAGGAACACTTTGAAAACACATCAGATTTCAATGGGGAAAAATATGCTGGATATCTATACTGATATGGACTGGGTAATGTGTTAGGATCGTAAAGATGCCCCATCATTTGATGGAAATGAAAATTATCAACCAACAGAGGACTGAATTCAAAGACGCCCTGAACATCAAAGTGAAAAAATTATGCAGCAGGCTAGTCCATTATGCTGAAATTTCATTGCAGCAACTCAAAATGGTATTCAGTAGTTTGTATGGCCCCCATGTGCTTGTATGTATGCCTGATAACGTCGGGGCATGCTCCTAATGAGATGACGGATGGTGTCCGGGGGTATTTCCTCCCAGATCTGGACCAGGGCATCACTGAGCTCCTGGACAGTCTGAGGCGCAACCTGGCAGCGTCGGATGGACCGAAACATGATATCCCAGAGATGTTCTATTGGATTTAGGTCAGGCGAGTGTGGGGGCCATTCAATTGTATCAATTCCTTCATTCTCCTGGAACTGCCTGCATACTTTTGCCACATGAAGCTGGGCATCTTTGTGCACCAGGAGTAACCCAGGACCCACTGCACCAGCGTAGGGTCTGACAGTGGGTCCAAGTATTTCATCCCGATACCTAATGGCAGTCAGGGTGCCATTGTCTAGCCTATAGAGGTCTGTGCGTCCCCTCATGAATATGCCTCCCCAGACCATCACTGACCCACCACCAAAACGGTCATGCTGAACGATGTTACAGGCAGCATAACATTCTGCACGGCTTCTCCAGACCCTTTCAGGTCTGTCACATGTGCTCAGGGTGAACCTGCTCTCATCTGTGAAAAGCACAGGGAGTCAGTGGCAGACCTGCCAATTCAGGGGTTCAATGGCAAATGCCAATCAAGATCCATGGTGCCGGGCCCTCAGGCCACCCTTATGAAGTATTTTTCTGATTGGACAGATACATTCAAACCTGTGGCCTGCTGGTGGTGTGTATGTGTGTGTGTGTATATGTATATATGTGTGTGTGTGTGTGTATATATATAGGCCCTCACAGGACTGTGGAATGCAGTTCACCCAAAAAAATCCTTTAGGGCTCATTTGTGCATTGTGGTACGTAACTATGTAAAATGCATGTTACTGCAACACATGGTACCATGCCATCCATTTAGTCACACAGCTACAGTAGTGATCAATGCACCAGCTTCTCAGCACACCTGAATGAATGGACTTCCCTAACTTACAAAAACATGTTAATACAATGCATAGTGTAAATAGGCCTTCAATGCTGATACGTTTCAATGTCCATCTTTCATCAAAACAATGTTCGTCATTATTCTGATCAGAGCTAATAATTAAATGGCAACTTTTTTTTGTCTGATCTTTTTTTTTTTTGCAGAGCTGCCTGCTCAGGCCAAACAACATGCTGAATCAGCCAAAAGCATCCTACTTGGGGGTGTTGACATGACAAAATCTTTGAAGGAAAAAAGAGGAATCTTGGGAACTCTAGTCACTATTTACTATACATTGGGCATGGCGCACCTACTGCAAACCAAATATCCTTTATGCAGAGATCAGAAGAGCGATGATATTATATATATATGAAAAGTGTATTTGACATAATGGCCACTTACTTAGCTACAATGACATTAGCAATTAATGATAGCAATGAGAATGATAACCAAGGGTATATGGAGAAAGTTTGGGTGGCACTGTTTGCATTTCTGTCTCTATTTAAATGACTGCAGTGAACCTCCAGTGAACATGGGCCTTCATCATGATCAACCTATGTGTAAGGGCACAAAAAAATCGATGTATAGACATTTTTTTTCTGCCACAACTATCTGGCAATTATCACTCGGCCATGCAGTTATTTGTCTTTCTTGAATGATCTCCATTTCAATCGTTTTTTTTTACATCAGTCGTACAGTTTTATTGTACTTAAAGTTGTTTTCATTATTAATTTCTGTGTGATATTGTAGCAACAATTTTCCCCAATGTAATTATTGGGCAATTAAATATTATTCTCTTAACTGTCACACTGGCAGAGAAGCGTACATCAGCTTACAGAAGGTAGAGAAAATCATGGAGGAGCTAGGAAGAGCTTCAGGAGAAAAACTCTGTTACTGGGAAAATATCTGAAAAAGACATTGCCTTGGCATTAGGAAGGTTATTATCATTCGTAATTGTAATATTAATTTTTATGTTTTGTAATATTGTAATATTCATTTTTTTATTAATTGTAATATTCATTATCATCAATTGTAGTATTCATTTCTAGCACTTATTAATTCAGGAAATTCACAAGTAAAAAAAAAAAAGTCGATCTAACAATTGACTTCTGTCATACAGGCATAGCAATGTGCATGGATCAAAATTTGGCTGGCCCCTGCTAAACTAGCTGAATTTCAATATATCTACGGCCAGCCTAAGTATATTGTAACGCTTTGACTAGGGGAGAGAGAAGTCGAATAAGGAGTCGATCAATTGTATTGCAGTGCTTGTGTACAAACAGGTGACCTGCTGATAGGGAGAGAGAGCAGAGCGACAGAGAGATGAGCTTATCACTGCGCTGCTTCTCCTTTCACTGTAGTCACATGCTGGAGGGACGAGACCGGTAAGTACTGGTTCACACTAGTGTGACTTCTGATGCGACTTGAGTCGCACAGAATCACATGAAAAGAGAAATTATAGAAATGAGTTAATGGTGCTCATTCAAATCAATGAGACTCAGCATGGTGGGATGTTGGAAAAGGTTCCTACATTGCTTTGGTGTGACTCGAATGCTATTTTGGCCCCATAGACTATGCACAAGCTCAGACAAGTTGCATCAAAGTGACACTACATAATCGCACCGAAAATCAGATCAACTATAGCAGGGAAAAATCGAGCATCCTGCAATACCAGGCAAGATTGTTCTGTGTGGCAGAGATGTATAAATCTCAGGACTGGATGGCCAGAAATGTTCAGACAGGTAAAACAGCTCCCATATTTGTATGGGAGTTCATCCTCAAAGGCAAAAAATTGATTGACCTTCATTCTTAATTCTATGCAGTGATGTTCTTCCATCTGTGTAGTTAGATGTTCAGCTTTACAGCAGAACTTCACCCAAAAGGGGAAGTTCCGCTCTTTCTCCTCCCCTTCCTCTTTCACACTTGGCACATCATTTTTTTGGGGGGGGAGGAGTGGGTACCTGGTTTTGACATGTACCCCCTCCCACGTCTGCTCAGATCACCTAGATGATTCAATTGGAAGTTCTCCCACCTGCCCCCTCCCTGCCCGCAGCCCTCTGGGGCCTGTGATGTGTCCCAGAAGGATGTGGGCAGAGAGGGGGGGGAGAACACAGCCAGCTGCCCATAGTTAATATGCCGGCGCTGGGGACCAAAGACCAGTGAAGAAACCAGTGTGGGTGAGGAAAGCGCTGGATCGTGGGAGTGTCTGCTTAATAAAAATCAGCAGCTACAGTTTTAGTAGCTGCTGACTTTGAATTTTTCCACAAGTGACCAAAGAACCACTTCAAATTTGCTCTGGTATGATGTTTATGAAATGTTCGCTATGATTCTGTCAATCATTATATTGCAGGGCTTGCTTGCTCCAGAACAAATTTAGTTCCGCCATAAATTACTTTGAGCAGACTGCGGAGCTTGTTGTGTCTTGTGAAGGGGACAGCTCTCCTCAGCTTATCAGTATTTACCGGCATATGGCCAAAACAGAGCAGAAGAGGAAGAAGCATGACCGGGCCATTCAGCACTTACTGCAGGTGGGTTTGTAGTAAAGTCTTGTCAATGTAAGGGCAAACCCCAGTCCAAACTTTTTTTTTTTTTTTTAGGTTAGGGTAGAACAGGCAAAGAATTAGAGCCCCAGTGCCCAACCTGCAGCCTTGGGGGCACATGCAGCCCTTTGGCACTTATTTTGTGACCCTCTGAATCCCTGCAGATAGCATTCTGTGTTTTCTTTACCTAGGTGCTTTCAGTCATCTGCCCATCCTCCATTCCTCCTGTTTCATCCATAGAAGTATGGATTATATGAATGGAGGAACTAAGTGGAAACGGCAGGCATAGCCAGGCTCTCTTGATGAAAGCCCCTTAGCTGTATTAAACCCTGTTGCACTGGAAGATTTGTGGTGGTGGTGGGGGGTAAGTTGCAAGATAGAGGAGGATTACTACTGATTGAAGAGGAATCAGCACAAGGGACACATCCTTCTAAGTTATGTCTCTTGTGCTGATTTTTCTGTATATAAATATATATATATTATTATTTTTATTTTTATTTTTTTTTACTTTCGGGATTTTAATTAGAAAGCATTTTTTTTTCCAGTACTACTTTTCCTTATTCAGCACAGGGCCAAATATTCCTCAAGCGTATAATGCCAAAGTATCCTAAGTAAAAGCATGACACATGACTACATCGATTCGCCTTTTAGACCTTTTGCCTTTTTTTCATGTTAGAGAGCTGATCTCCAGACTAATAAAAAAAAAAAAAAAAAAAAGACCTTAATACAGCTCTGTAATTATTAACATGTCGGTAAATGTATTTTTATATGCAAACTACGGGAGGGGGAAGCACCACAAGGAGCCAATGAGCCGTGATGCAGTACAAGGTGTACGCTGATAGATGGAGAAAGTCAAGAGATAAGCTCATGGGTTTTCTGCTTCTCCTTTTAGCCCAGTATCAGGCTGGGCAGGAACAAGCCCTGTAAGTGTTACCTAATTGCAGCAAAATAAAATCAAGTCTCCTGCACAACAGACAGGGGTAGAGCTGTGTTTATATCTCAGAAATGGATGTACAGAATATAAAACCTTTGGCTTTTAAACAGCTCCCATATGCATTTCATCTGTATTTAGGTGGTTGCCTGGAGTTCATCTTTAATGTAAATAAAAATAATACTAATTCTGTGCAGTGACATTGTTCTTCCTTCTTCTAGGCTCATTCTATCTGTCAGACGATATATAAACCTCTGAGTGTGGAGGCTGCACAGTCTGGACTGTTATTAGCTAAAGCATATGCAGCATCGGGGAGCCCCGACTACAGTGGTGATATCTGTTTTATATATGATACAGACTATTGAACTTGTTCACTGAGACATTGTTAAGAAAATTTGGAGAAACATATCAGCTTAATGTAGATCAGTCTTTCTCAACATATTTACCCTAGAGGAGTCCTTGAAAAAAATGTTCAGGTCTGAGAACCCCTTCTGATATGAATAAATGGGAGGATCAGTGAAAGAATGCCTCTTACATTGGTATCCAGTGGGAAGAATGTTCCTTACATTGGTAATCAGTGGGAGGAATGCTCTTTTTATATTGGTGGTCAGTGAGAAGAATGCCCCTTACATTGGTGATTAGTGTGGAAGGATCATTGGTGTCATGCTGCTGGCACTTACAGGTGGCATTGAACATGGAACAATCTAGGCACCATGAGATGGGAGGCCAAGCAGCCTCAGCTTAATTAACCCCTTAGCAACCTCTGGAGGAGCTCTAGGATTCCATGGCACCCTCATTGAGAATGGCTGGTGTAGATGTACCAGGTTCAATCAAACGCTGACTTCTCAGAGTGTGAAGGTTTTCTTAAGGTGTCCTGGCTTAGCCCTGCTCTATGACATTCTTTGCTATGTATTATACTGCACAATGTGTTCTCCCATCCCTGCTAAATTTGCTGTTGGAATATATTAGAATATGGAGAAAACAGGCTCTAGGTGACCATTAAGCACGGTCATCAGTAGAATGGCATGGAAAAAAAGCTCTGCTCTCATATCCGTATGGTGTTTTGTTACACCTCAGAACCCTAGATTAGATTAGTATTCTAGAGCAGTGCTTGAAAACGTAAAAAAATTCCCAAAACCTGTGTTTGGACAGAAGCTTTTGGCGTAATTTATGCTAGCATTTATATGCATACAGTGCAAATGTAGGACACTAAATGGCTTCTTCAGGGAAGCTGCCTGTATCCTGGCAATGAGGGATACTGGGTGGCTTTGTAAGACCTGCATGTGTCCTAGCAACAAAGGATGCTGGGCAGCAGGAGTTGCCTAGCATCCTAGCAACCAATAGAGCCATTTTGTTCTTTATGTATACATGTACTCATTAGCAAAAATGTTACATGCATAGAATGTACAGGTAAGATTTTACATTGGTTCTTGCTGCTAGCAATCAAACATGAGCCCTTAAAGTGTACCTCACAAATAATAAAGGATATAACAAATAAAAAATAATATAGCACATACTAATGCTACACAAGTCATATTGTAGTTGAGTGTTATTAAAAATAACTTTTCTTTTTCAATCTGCAGCCTTGTAGTTTCTGTAAAATACAATGCATGGCAACCTGGAAGCATTCTCTACACAGATGGTGTACAGAATGCTCATAGAAATGTAATTTCTTGTTTGTGTGATTGAATTACTGATTTTCCCAGAAATCTGCATTAAAATACAGTTAGATTTTGAGCATCGCCTGGTGAGATACTCTCAAAAGGAAATCATGTCTAAAGGGATGCAGACCCTGACACTTTCTGCGTTAGAGCCCTGAAAGTGCAAGAGCTGATTAATAATTATAAAATCACTCCCTTTAGATTCACTTTTACACATGGGCAAAGTCAACAGCAATTTCTTCAGAATAACAAAAGATAGGAATCTGCAACAAAGTTTGTTAAAATCCCTGCAATGTACATTGATCACCCAAAGGGGAATGTTTAATTCTCAACCAAACTGGAGTTATTCTTTAAGCTGTAATAGCCTATGTGTTCTATGCATATGAATGACTCGTGAACATCAATTCTGAAAGTATGGATGTTCCCAGGAATCACAGCACTGACTGTGTGGCACAAATACACAGATTCAGGCAATACAAGCTTGTTATAAGAATACAGAACATACTGTACTGATCATAAGAGTTCTAACACCTTGAGGATAAACTTATCCTGCAAGTGATTTCTCTAGCTCCATCCAGGCACTCTGGGGCCCTTTCATCCTATGCATTACATTACTGAGGTCACCAATAAACTGATATGACCCTCCTTTTTTTAAAGCAGAGCTCCACATGTGTGTTGTGATGTGCCACAGTGCAGGTGCATTGCTCATTACTGTAGTCACTTGTTTAGGTCGTACTCTGATTAACATAAACATATTTAACATAAGCAGATAGACAGATGCAATATTTGTTTCCTCATATACTTTGGGAAACTCTGTACTTGGGAAACTTGTGGTACATCAATTGAACCTGTCTGATAACTTATTCTTTTGATATCCTTTCCTTTGTAGAAATGGCAGAGAAGTATTTTACGGAGAGCCTCAACGTGTATCGGGCAGTGCTGGGACCTGATGACCCGCAGACACTGAGCACTTGTGTGGAGTTTAGCAAATGGCTCATACAAATTGGAAACACACAAGTAAGAGATGAGGGAGTATTTATGCTTTACAAATGCTTATTCCCCCATCTAATTGGCTTCAACTGAAGCCTCTTGGTTGAAGAATCTTGACGACCAGTTGAAGTCCTCTGTACAATTGTGATCATATTCAGTAGTCTCTTAACCTCTTCTTTTGAACTAGCGCAGTGTATACAGTCCTCCACTCACTCCGACGGGAATACCTTAGACCTTGTCTTCTCTAACCACTGTACTCCCTATAGCAAACACCCCATTTCCCCTCTCTGATCACAATCTCATCACCTTCACAGTCTCCTCGTCCTCTAACACCTATCCCACCAAACAGCAAACAATTACCAGCAGAAATCTCCGAAACCTAAACCCGGCTCCGTTCCAATCTGCAACTGACCAGCTCTATGACAGCATCAACCCTCTGTCCTGCCCTGACCTGGCCACTGCTGTCTACAACAACTCTCTTTCATCCGCTCTAGACTCACTTGCTCCCCTAACATGAAGCACCGACCTCTACAACCTTGGCAGACTGACCACACCGAAATCTCAAACGACATAGTCGCGCACTGGAGCGATTATGGCGTAAAACCAAATCCCGCCAAGTGTTCACCCGTTACAAATCTGCTTTCTTAACATACATTCCTCCCTCCACGCTGCCAAACAAGCTTACTTTGTCAACCTCATTAATACCTTCTCTTCGAGTCCTCGTCGGCTCTTCTCTACCTTTTAACTTTCTACTTTCTCCGCCCCCACCGCCACCCAGCGCCTCACTCACTGCCCACGAGATTGCACACCACTTCCAAAACAAGATTGACGCAATTCGTAGGGACATCGTCACTACACAGACACCCACCCCACTTAGCATTCCTAATACCATACCTCCCTCAACAATTTCCTCCTTTGACCTCGCTACCACTGAAGAGGTCCTTAAGGTCTTCTCAGAAGCCTGCCTCACCACCTGCCCCCTAGACCCTGTCCCCTCACAACTCCTTTGGTCACCCTCCTCTTCCATCCTATGTTCCCTCACTCACATCTTCAATCTTTCCCTCTCTACAGGTGCCTTCCCCTCCCCTCTAAAGCACTCGCACATCACTCCCATACTTAAAAAACCCTCCCTAGACCCCACCAACCTGAACAACCTTAGACCCATCTCCCTGCTGCCATTTACCTCTAAACTCCTAGAACGCTTAGTCTACAATCGTCTGAGCTCCCATCTCACTGACAACAACCTTCTCGACCCTTTACAGTCTGGCTTTCGCCCTTTACACTCCACCGAAACTGCCCTACTAAAACTCTCTAATGATCTATAACTGCAAAAACCAATGGCCACTATTCAATACTCCTACTACTCGACCTCTCCGCGGCTTTTGACACGGTTGACCATCCCCTCCTCCTCAAAAAACTACACTCTTTTGGCCTCAGCGACTTCGCTCTCTCCTGGTTCTCCTCCTATCTATTGCAGCGCTCCTTTAGTGTAACACCGCCACCTCCTCCTCACTCCCTCTCTCTGTAGGGGTCCCTCAAGGTTCTGTCCTTGGACCCCTTCTCTTCTCCATCTACACCTCCTCCCTTGGTCACTTGATAAACTCCCATGGCTTCAATTACCATCACTTTGCTGATGACACACAAATCTATCTGTCTACCTCTCACCTCACCCCTTCAGTTTCCACCCGCATCGCTAGCCTACTAAGCGACATATCGGCTTGGATGTCACTCCACTTCCTCAAACTCAACCTTTCCAAAACTGAGCTCCTAGTATTCCCCCCTGCCCGCGCTACCCCCACTGACTTCACCATAAATATCGCTAACACCATCCTCAGTCCATCCCCTTATGCCAGGGTACTAGGTGTAATCCTAGACTCCCATCTCTCCTTCCAGCCCCAAATCCAATCGCTGACAAAATCATGTAGACTTCACCTCCGCAACATGTCCAAGATACGACCGGTCCTAACCCCGGAAACCACTAAGCAACTTATTCACTCCCTTGTCATATCACGCCTCGACTACTGTAACTCCCTCCTCATTGGCCTACCTCATCACAGGCTATCCCCTCTCCAGTCTATCATGAATGCTGCTGCCAGACTCATCCACCTCACTAACCGTTCTGTATCCGCCACCCCTCTCTGCCAGTCTCTCCACTGGCTCCCAGTTGCCCAACGGATAAAATTCAAAACACTAACAATGATATATAAAGCCATCCATAACACTGCCCCAATTTACATAACCAAACTTATATCTCTAAATATCACCCAAACCGTACACTCCGCTCCTCGCAAGACCTCCTACTCTCTAGCTCCCTTATCTCCTCCTCCCATGCTCGTCTCCAAGACTTCTCCAGGGCGTCACCCATCCTCTTGAACTCCCTACCCCAATCTATCAGACTATCACCTACTCTACTTACCTTTAGGCGATCACTGAAAACCTATCTCTTCAGGGAAGGCTATCCCACCCTCTGCTAATTCTGGAATCCACCACTCTTCCAACCACTCCATCCCCCAAAGTTACTACCTACTGTACCACTCACCCCTCCCTCCTAGATTGTAAGCTCCAAGGAGCAGGGCCCTCAAATCCCTCTTGTATTGAACTGTATTGTCTCCCACTATAATGTAAAGCACTGAGCAAACCGTTGGTGCTATATAAATCCTGTATAATAATAATAATAGTCAGTCCAAGGATTAAAGTACTGTACACATGGTGACCCACAACATTTATTTCTGTAGGGGCACATTGAATTTAGGGTCTCCCAGGAGTATCTGTCATTGGTAGATGATGAGGCTCTTTCTCTCTGCCCCTTTGCAAGAATTCACAGGGGGAGATTTACCAAAACTTATGCACTCAGAATCTGGTGTAGCTGTGCATGGTAACCAATCAGTATCTAGCTTCAGCTTGTTCAATTTTTTTTTTTTTTTATTTAAATATTTATTCATTTTTCAAGTAAAACAATACACATTTCCATAATGTAAAATATAACATAACAGAATCTCATAAAACACTAATTTCGTATCATTTTCTCCCCTCAACTCCCTTCCTTTCAACCCTCCCACCTCCCTCCCCACTTCGATATACCCCTGACATCTATCTGATCGACTTGTATCTCACATCCTCTGGATACCGAGGTTTGGAAAAGAAAAAGACAGAGAGAAAGGCTAATTACTATGATTTCTCCTATTCCTTATCCTTTCCCCTTTTCCCTTCCTTTCTTCTTGTCCTCTCTTTCCCTTTTCTTTGCGCTTACTTACTCAGTACCTTCCTTTACCTTTACTTTGAACTCCTCCAATTTCTCCCATTTCATATGATATGTCACCATCCTATCTTCCTGTATATAATAAAGTTTTTCCAATCTAGCAATCTGGTCCACTCTATTCATCCAGTCCTCTTCCCTCGGTGCCTCAGCTTTACGCCAAAACCTAGGAATCAGACTTTTTGCTGCATTTAGGTAGCTCAATATACCTAGTTCTTTATATTTATTTCCAGGTAATATTGAGTTATGAAAAAGGCAGGTTTCAGGGTCCAGTCCTATCTCCATTCCAGTGATAGTCGTGATTTGATTTATAACTTTTTTTCCAATATATTTGTATCTTTGAACATTCCCACCATATGTGATACATCGTGCCCATCCCTCCACACCCTCGCCAACACCAAGGTTGCTTCTCCTCACTCATCCTGTGCTCTATCACCGGTGTAAGATACCATCTTGTCAAACATTTAAAATTCATTTCCACCTCACGCATGCTAATATATTTTCGTGTACCATTCTATATATTTTCCTCTGTGTGTGCTCTTCCCACTCCACTCCTAAATCCTTTTCCCCATTTTTCTATATATTTTAATTTAAACTTACTATCTAAATCCGTGAGAGCTTTATATGCTTTAGCAGTGCTGTGTTTCCCATCACCTCGGTCTTCTAAGTATTTCTCAAATTCATTCCACTCTTTCCTAGTTCTAAGGGGCTTCGTCAATTTCTCCACAAATTGTTTCAATTGATTATATCTCCATATATCTATCCTAGTGAAAATCCTTCCCTCTTCCCTTTTTAAATCCTCCAGTGTTCTTAAGTTTACCCCCTCCATTACATCTCTCAGCTGAGCGTCTTCCTTCATAATCAATCTGCCTGAAATTTCCTCTTTACCTGGGGGGAAAAACTCTGAATTTCTTAGTGACATTAATAGTGAATTAAAATCCCATTTCCTCTGTCTGTGCATTTTATCCCACTCCCTCATTACAATCCTCGTGTATATACTTGTGCTCTCCTCTAATTCTCTAAACTGTGGTGACACCCATACACTCCTACCCAGATCTTTTCCACTAAGTGTATTTTCAATTGTGACCCAATGTTTACTCTTTGAGTTATGTGTCCAGTCAAAAATTCTTGCTAAGATGACTGCCCTATGGTATCTTTTAAAGTCCGGTACTCCCAACCCCCCTTTTTCTTTATTTCTGCTTAGCACTTCATATGATATCCTAGGTTTTTTATTTTTCCATATATATTTAGTTACCATTCGCTTTATTGTCCTAAAATACACCTCTGGAAGATTGATGGGAATCATCTGGAAATTATACAGTATCTTAGGGAGAATTACCATTTTTATCAGGTTAATACGACCCAGCCAGGAAGGATTTCCACCACCCATTTTCCTCAATTCCTCTCTGATTTCGTTTAACATTGGGATATAATTAGCTTTATAAAGATTTTTCTGTGAGGGAGTAAGTTTTACCCCCAGGTACTTTATTTCTCTATCTTTCCATATAAAGGGGAACTCTCTCTGTATATTTTCTTTTTCGCTCTTTGGAAGATTTATATTTAATATCTCTGTTTTGCTCGGGTTAATTTTTAGATTTGACATTTCCCCATATTCCTTCAGTGTTTTCATTAGGTTAGGAAGTGTTATCCTTGGGTTTCCAACATAGAATAATAAATCGTCCGCAGAAGCGGCTATCTTATGTTCTGTCTTTCCAACATTAATTCCCTTTATATCTATATTTTTCCTAATTGTTGATAGCAGGGGTTCCAA